TCAAGAATAAATTCATAAGATAATACTAAAATAATATCAAAAGAAGCTAAAATAATAATAATAAAATAATAATAAAATTAAATAATATAATGGAATTAATTATTCCATTACAATATTCATTTTAAGACGTATAATGAAACAAAAGTCTTTTGAGAGATCCTATAAATATGAAGTCATATTTTCTGCTGTAATATATTTTAAAAACAAGAGAGTGATTGACCAATTGACTACAATTATGTAGGTGAATCAATATCAGAAGTCAATAAGAATAAGTTCCAATACACATTGTTCAATAATAGTAAGGAGTCTATATGAAATTATTTTATATTATCAAAAATTTCTAACAATAATATATCTGTCAATATTCTTGCAGAGAATCAAACAGTTGGAGAAAATGATATTGAATTTATAGAAAATAGGAAACAAATATTGATTAAATTAATAATTATTTAATATGATGATTTCTATATAGGGTATACCTGTCAAGTTAATATCAAATATGACATAACAGCTTTAAAATTTAAGATTAAGAACAAGAAAAAAAAAATTCAAGATAATCAATCAAGTAGCTGAGATGTGAATATATATATATATAAAATAAGAAGTTGATATTTTTGATATATTTGTTAGCATGTTGGTATTGGGCAAGATATAATTGCTTAGTTTGATTGTATCTCAAACATACTATATATATTACTAAAAAATTTTTAACATTACTAGTTGTATCGATATATCAGAATATTATAAATAAAGATGATACATAGCAAAGTATAAGTCCTAAATGCGATGTACAATAATCTCAATGAATGCCATAAAAATATATCAACTTGTCTTTAGTCAGTCCTAATAAAAAAGGAAAAGTAAAATTTATCTATTTAAAGTATTGTTACGGGAAAACAATGATTGACGATATGGTTTAGAAATTGAGAAAACGACGATCATGCATTATAGAGATTGCCAAAATGGGTAATTGATCCTCAACCTCATTATTTCTTTTATTTTCATTATTTCTTTTATTTCTTTTATTTCTTTTATTTCTTTTATTTTTTTTATTTCTGTTATTTCTGTTATTTCTGTTATTTCTGTTATTTCTTTTATTTCTTTTATTTCTTTTATTTTCTTTTGCCATAAGAAAAAGTATAAAAATGATGTAAGGAAATATAATAGAAAAAGGAGCGAAAAAATTAGTTAATAAAAGAGTGTTAAAATTGACCTACTTATCATACTGTTCTGTCTAATAAAACCCATCAAATCACACAAACTCACCAAATCTATACCTCTTTCTGCCTTTAATCCCCCCTGTTATAACCAATACCCCTGTCGACATGTCACGAAGTCTAAGATTTTGCCATTACTGCTAATAGACTGACCCGCAACAGAATTGGTGGTGAACCATGAGATACGACATTTGTTTTTCTCCCCAATTTTTTTCACTGAATGAAATTTTAGAGAGAAGGAGAAAAGAAAACATAAGTAATCAAAAAGGAGTAAATGAGATGAATGCAGAACAATTGGAACAGCTTCTGACGAACCTTGCTCGGTCATTTGAAACTGTAACCACCAATATCCTTAATGGAAACCGAGGAAGAATGCCGGAGACGAACCATGTGCCAGTCAAATACTTTGCCAGAAGAGAAGATAAAGACCCTGTTAAATGGATGGAAGAATTTGAACAAGCCGCAACAGCTAACAATTGGACAAATGGCAGAAAACTTCAAATTGCATCTGGGTATTTAACTAACCTAGCCTGCCGATTGGTATTACGAGAACAAAGAAGATATCGAACAATGGCATAACATAATGATATACAACATAGTTTTATTACGTGATGATCAATTTTTTTTCCACACCTGAAAAAAGATATCGATGGCAACAAGAATTATATGAACTGGTTCAACAAGACAACGAATGAGTTGATATCTATGCCACCAAGTTTAAGCGACTCCTATTTCGAGTAGACCCTGAAGATAAAATTCCTGGGGACTATGTAGTAAGCATGTTTCTGAAAGGCCTCAAGAGTAATACTGCCACCTTTATTACAGTTACCATTCCGACAACATTAACAGAAGCAATTATAGCTGCCCAAAGAGTTGAAGTAGGAAATTATTACAGACAACAAAAATACAAGGCAACGGAAATTTATACAAACCAAATACGTAAAGAAATAAAAGGTTTGATAAAGCAAGTATAAGAAATATCTCTGAATTATATCATATTAGCTGCTTGAAACTAAGAATCCTAACGATTCTCTTCGATTCTGTATTCGATTCTCAAGTTTATATTAAATTTAATAGGTGGGGTATATTCTACCATCATTTTTAATAGTGTTTCGAACCTCATGCAATTCTGTTCGATTCTATTCGATTCCAATTTTCAGAACTATACTTGAAACATATCCAGGAGAAATACTTCCCTAGACTAGAGGAATGCACCAAGGATTGTAAGATATTATCGCTTGGAAGGAAAGGGCACTACTCCCATGAATGCCCCGAAAATGCATCACTAGTACCAGTAGCACCTATAGCCAAGAATTCTATACCAAATGTTCACTATTGCGAATAGCAATCAGAAAAAGAGGGTGACATGGATGCTTACATTGCGGGAGACACTATACCCACTAGAAGAGAAAGACCTAAGTGTAAGCAGAAGAGTAGCTTGGATGGATTGAATCATATACCCAAGATTAGGAGAGCTGTTAATTCAGTAGAACTGATGGGGATGAATACTCAACCTATAGAAGAGGAATCACCAATGAAGAAAGTGAGAAGGAAAAGAGAGCCATCAGTAATTGATTCCCTAGACCCTTATGATGTAGCAAACGATATCTTAGCTTTACCTGCTAATGCGACAATAGAACAAATGTTACAGTATCCGAACCAGCAAAGAAACTTAGCAAAGCTCTTATAACGACCTGCAGCTATGCCTGAAACTCATCATGTACGACCCGCTAGTACCTACAGAATTACTGCTGCGAAATATTACACAAAAATCGAGAGAAAACTGATTATAGCTGTATTAGATTCAGGTGCTGCTGTAAGTATTATTACAAAAAAACTTTTAGACCATCTGCAAATACGAATTGAGGAGAAATCTACAACTATCATCATTACGGCCAATGGGACTAGAAAAAAAACTCTAGGAAAGATTAGAAACGTCAATGTTATAGTTAAAAAGATCACTATTCCAATGACCTTTCAAGTTATCAAATCCAGAGACGAAACCCTTTTGTTGGAAACAGATTGGTTTCAGAAGGCAAATACAAAGGTTCATTTTGATGAACAGAAACTGTACCTAAGTATCAAGGCCAATTCACAGAAATCCTGATTTCACACAATAACGCGGCATTCTTGCAGACACTGGAAAAGATGGATATAAGTGACAAAAATCAAGACACATGCGATGAATTCGAGTATGAAAGTGAAGAATTAGAAGAAAAGGAAGAGTATTATACAGAAGAACGGTCAGATAGAGAACTGTATGAAAACCCATGGGAAAACATGCAGAGTCTGGCAATATATATGACAACTCTTGAGAAGATACCTACTTGTGATGAAGACCATGACAAATGTCGAAATGACGAAGGAACCCCAAAGCAAAACATTGACATCCGCTTAATAAAGGAAGAACAGGAAGAAGCCACAAAATTTTTTGAAAAAGAAAAGAATCTTTTTGCAAAGGATATCATGAAGTTAATTCAAACTGATATCATTTACCATGTTATTGACACAGGGTATACGAAATCAATTAAGCAAGCCCCCTATCAAATGGCACTAGATGAACATGATTACGTTTAAGAAGAATTAAAGAAGATGAAGGAACAAGGCCTAACACAGAAATCCATTAGCCTTTGGTTCTCCCCTATAGTTATTGTATCAAAAAAGAACAGAGTGAGGTGACTATGCATCGTTACAGAAAATTGAATGTAGTAACAAAGAAGAACGCATACTCGTTACCACAAATCGACGACCTGCTAGAAATGTTGGGACAAACGAGCTGGTTCTCTAATCTAGATCTCGCCAGCAGATATTGGCAAGTATGAGTACATAAAAATGACTGCGAGAAGACTGCATTTGTAACAAAATTTGGCACCTATGAGTTTAAGATTATACTATTCAGGTTATATAACGCACCGGCCACTTTCCAATGGCTTATGAACATGGTTTTACATGAGTGTATAGGACAATTTGTTACTGTATATTTAGATGACATTATTGTCTACTCACGTACCTATGAAGAACACCTGGAGCATTTATTACGAGTTTTCGAAGAATTAAGGAAAGCCTTGCTGAAACTGAACTCTGAGAAGTATAGTTTCTTCTTATCGAATATGGAATTTTTAGGCCATATCATAGGAAGGGATGGCATCCAACTGAATTTAAAGAACATAAAGAAAGTAAAGAATTTCCCGACCTCCGAAATTTAAGACAGTTAAGAGGATTTATAGGACTTGCCTTGTATTATCGGAGGTTTATAAAGAATTTCTCTAGCATTGTGAAACCTCTACACTGACTATTAGAAAAGGGCGTACTGTACAAATGGGAAGAAAATCAACAAAATGCTTTTGAAATTTTGAAAAGACACCTGATTTCGACACTAATCCTCAGATACCCCGACTTTGACCAAACATTCTACTTATATATGGATGTTTTGGGAACAGGATTAGATACTATATTGTCACAAATTAATAACAAAAAAAACAAATACGTAGTTGCATACGTGAGCTGAGGGTTGACTAGACCTGAGCGAAACTACACAGCAACAGAATTAGAATGCTTAGTAATAATTTGGGGAGTTAAATATTTCTATTATTACCTTGGCATGAAACCCTTCATAGTGGTTACGGATCACTCTGCGCTGAAGTGGCTTAAAACATCTAAACTAAAGGGATAGAGAGCATGATGGATTCTTCAACTCCAACCATATAACTATACAATTATACATCACGCTGGTAAGAAACATACCAATGTGGATGCATTATCTCAAGCGAAAAAAGAAAGTGAGAAATGTGGTGACAACAACATAATTAAAAGCATTATGAACAAACAAATAACGACTGTGCCGGGCCCTATTGCCTACTAATCGATTCAAAAAAAAAAAAAGAGAAAAAGAAAAATCCGAGGAACAAAATTCAGTCCAGGTACTGATGTTCTGGCATGAAAAAAAAAAAGAAAAAAACCATGGAATCCGATAACTATTGACAACTGCTTAATTACTTACGAAAACAACGACTACCCACAAATGTCACATCACAACTGACATGACGATTACAGGTGCAAAGTAATTTTTTTGTACAAAAGAATGGATTATTATACAAGAAGAACAAACACCAACCAGGTCGACTATTACAAGTACTACAACGATACGAGTTAAAACCAATACTGTACTTAACACACACGTATCTACTAGAAGAACATTTCGATAAGACATTATGTTTAAGAAGATATGAGACCTATACTATTGGCCGCAACTATACAAAGATATCAGGGCATACATATGTACATACGATCAGTATCAACGATGAGGGAAGAATTGAGCATGACAACCTTTACATTCGATACCTGTGGAGGCCCTTTTCTATAAGATAGGTATTGACATAGTTGGTCCTCTGCCTGTGATCCCATGAAATAAACGATATATCATAGTTGCTACCGATTATATGATCAGATGGCCAAAAGCCAGGGCCATAGAAAATGCGACCGCTCGAAGTATCGCTGATTTTATTTACAACGATATAGTGTGTCATTATGGATATTCTAGTTACCTGTTATCTGATTAAGGTGTGAATTTCAGAAGCCGAATGCTTAATACATTTCTGTCTAAAATTCAAGTTGCACACCTATATTTTATCGCATATCATCTACAGATGAACAGATTAGTAAAACAATTCAACAGAACACTATGCGAATCATTGGCCAAAACTATAAATGATGTTAGAGATTGGGATCTGATGATACCATCCGTATTGTTTGCATACCAGACAGTAGTGTTACAAATCGTTAGTTGGAAAGTTCAAAATTAACCAATCAGAATTCAGGATTTTTAGTTGCAACTAGTTGATTATATTAAAAACAACCAATCGATTAGAAAAATTTTTGCCAACTAAGATCACTACCAGACAGCTCATCAGGTTACGACTAGAGTGACATTATTCTATTTGGTATACAGCAGGGAAGCACATACACCAATAACCCCAGATAACGATATTCTTGATGATATTATTTTAAAACGATTGTTTGACCTTATTAACGTTGTTTCCCAAGAACAAAATAATACCATCATGCAGATGGAACAAGTGCAACAGCGAAACAAGACATGACACGACCAAAGACTCAAATCTAGCCAGAGTTTTGCGATAGGAGACAAAATGTTACTTTATTGCACCTATATTATCTACTTCCGAAGTCACAAACTGGATAGTAAGTGGGAGGGACTCTTTTTTGTCCACAAAGTATAATCAAAGAAGGTATACTGTCTCTGAACAATGGAAGGAAACATGCTTCGATGACCTGTTAATCATCAGCTGTTGAAATTGTATCACGAACGAGAAATGATACTTACCGAAGAAGATGAAATTATTATGTAGAAATAAAAAAAAAAATGAAATGAAAAAAAAAAAGAGATGTTTTCAATCAGTTTGATCAATTCGAACGATTATTTTATTTAGTGATTTTATTTTTTTTTACAAATATAAATAGGATGGTTTTTGGTTTCACGCAATTCTTTGTTTTTTTTTTCTTTCTTTGTTTTATTTCCCCTTCTTCGATTCAAAACTAATCTAGAAGGATGTTTGAAGAAGTTGCCAGGATAATAATGGATTTGCTGACAATGGAACCCACGTATGTGAACATTACACTACCACCCTATGACGCCTAGAAAATATATGAGGAAAAAGTCGCTAGGACCTTGTCATACCTAAGAAAAGCAACTTACCTGGATCAGTAAACTGAAACGTTAGTGATGGTGTATTATTTGGATCAGCTGGTAGAGGGAACGGGACCGTGGACTTGTTTTACCTTACATTATCACCTGGGAAGTTTGCGAATCTATTATTTATTCCAATGATGGGAAATAGAGCAGATCTATTGGACCAAATACATTACCTTCAATAAGATTAAGTGATTGAGTGCACAAGAGTACCAAGTTTTAGTCGAGTAAAAGAGTTTGCTCATGAAACTTGCAATTAAGAAAGGGAGGAACTGTTATGGAGAAACGACGATTGATAATATGACTTAGAAATTGAGAAAACGACAATTGCGCATTATAGAGGTTGCCAAAACGGGTAATCGACCCTCAACCTCATTATTTCTTTTATTTTCATTATTTCTTTTATTTTCGTTATTTCTTTTATTTCTGTTATTTCATTTATTTCATTTATTTCATTTATTTTCTTTTGCTTAAGAAAAAGTATAAAAACGATATAAGGAAATATAGTAGTATCATATATCATTTCTACCTCAGGAGAAAGATAAAGACAGAGAACTAGTAGCAGGGAGGCACTTTAAATGGACAGGGCCAATGTGATATGCTAAAGTTCCTAGAGGCGTACAAATTAGTATAGTTCTGAGGTGTATAAGGTTAGGCGAAAGAGGCAACCGTAATTTGTTTTGTAAAGATCAAGTTATTTATTTGATAAAATATATGTTCAAGCCTACCAATTCCTAGGCGAAATTGAAGCCTTTATATACATGTTTGAGTTATAATATTTTCGTACAGGATAAATATATGCTATAGTAAA